TTGTCAGCTGTACTTTTATGACTTAGACCAGGGGGACCCAGAACAGGGGTAGCTTACGCACGTAAAGTCACTGGTACCCTTGAGGTCTTTGGAGATGCGGTGGATGAGCTGTCTGGAACGTGGGGTGAAAAAAAAAACATCTGGGCATCACACGGGCGTCTCCTAGGGTGACTTTTTCCCAAAAATAAAAATAATAGTAAAAACCAAACCAACCAACCAACCAAACAAGAGGTTGTACACTCCAGACTGAGACTTCTCTATATAGACTGGCTGTGGATACATCTGTGGAGCTGCAGGCACAAGGTACGTGGGACAAACCAGAGCAAACACGGAGCCTCGGAGGGGCTTTGGCCGCCTTGCCACCCCCCCCGGGCTTCACTTCGGCTCCGGCTGGGGATGCGGCAGTCGGCAAAAGGCTCCTTATCCCCAACCCTGGCAGACCCTGACCCAGCGCCGAGGCAGCCAGGATCAGGCCGTTGCTATGACAGGGCAAAGAGCGGGAGGGAAGGAAGGAGCCAGCAGCGCGGGGCCAAATCCTGCAGCCCGCAGCAGAGGACGGGGTCCGAGGGCTGCGGAGTCCAGCACGACACCGGCTGATAAAGCCCCCTCTTCCTCATTAGGTGCAGAGTTTGCATTGAACCTGTGCACGCGTGCATGCTTTGCACACACGCGTATATACATATATACATATATATTAATTACATACACATATATATACATACATACACGCACACCACACCCAACCTTGTCGCTGCAGCCTCCAGCCCGGCCGAGCAGCTGGCGAGGCACCCAGCGAGACGCCAGTTATTCTAATAAACCTTTCGGTGTTGAAAACTCAATGTCACTTTAGGAGCTGCCAGAGCCTCGCAGAAAATCTCCGAGACCAGAAACGCTTATAATCATAAAAAGGGTGGTTGAGGGGGAAAAAAAAAATAAATTAAAAAAATCCATTCTTGTTTTTAGCTAACGGTTTTGTTCCCATTAAAGCCTCTGTGCTGGTGACTAATGGCAGGGGTCGGATAGCTCTGAATTATGAGTCTGGGGAGCAGCAGCCAAGGCTCACATGGAGCAAAGCAGCTCCTGCACAGGGACCTTCAGCACTCACCAGGCAAAATGGGGAGGGAATGGGAAATTGAGGCAAACCAGCACGCCATGGCACATATCCAGCCCAGCCCCCCCGCCTTCCCCGCAGCGGGATGCCCCCCGGCACAGGGTCCTGCTGCTTATTTTTGAAAGGTCCAAAATCAAAGAGATTTTTGGAGGAAAGGGGCAACTCATTCCTAGCCCTGCAAAACCTGGGTCCAACTCCATCTCCTGCCTTTCCCATCTTCCTGCTTCCAGCCCCTTGTTTGGGCTCTTGCACAGGTTTTCTGGTCCTCCCTTCCCTTTGACCCCCTCCCTCCTCCTGCCTCCTCCCTGTTTATGTGGCCCAGGAGTCACTGTCTACATTATCATTCTCCTCCGAGGCATCGGCTGCTGCAAATCACCGCAGAGAGAGAGAGAGAGACTGAAAACCAGCACAGCTGGGAGAGGAGCTGATGCCATCTTTCATGCCTTGCAACTGCGGCTTTCCTAAAATTATGAAATAGGCATGGCAAAGAGTCTTCCTTCAGCTCCAGTGTACCCCACGCACACACAAGCATGCAGAAAAGAAATGGAAAAGCAAGTGGAAAAGCCCTCCTCTACACCCACACGGCTGCTCACGTCCTCGGGGCACACAGCTGGAAGGATGAGCACATCTGGGCACTGCCCCAGCTGGGAGACTGCAGCCGTTCATGGATGATATCACTACAAGGGATACGCACAGGCTGGGTAAGGGGTTGAATTTGTGCAGAGGGGGATGATGCTAAATCTGGCAGGCTTTGGGAGGGAATGATGCAGGAGATGCTCAAGCTACCATTGGAGTTAATTTTCCTAAAAACTTGCTCTGCGGCCAAATCAACAGCTGAGAAAAGATGCTTTCATTCCTCCCCTGCCTGTGCTTTCTTGCCTCTTCCCCATCCGTCTTTGCACCAGGAATCCCTCAAAAGCCCCAGAGTGGGGTGAGACACGGGCCCGTGCAGAAGCACCTGCTGGAGGGAGCAGCTGTGCCCCGGTACCCACCATCTGCCTCCGGCCGCCCTCGGCATGGCCACGGGCTCGGCACCGCTGCCTGGCACGGGGCCAGGAGCCGCAACACACCACATTCATGTGGTGCCATGCACAACTTCGGGGATGGCCACACTACAGCCCCCACCACCACCACCACAACCCCCTTACAGACCCTGGTACCGTCACTCATCTGGGTTTCATTGGGGTTTTACCCATCCCCATTGCTCTGGTAATAGAGAGCTGATGGTATCTGCAATCTTGGAGCTGGGCTTTCCAAAAAAAACCACAGCCCACATTCAGCTCCATCCCACCACCCCCTACCCTACAAGGGAGCCACAAGATCAGCCATCCTCCAGCAAGACAAGGCTTTTTTTCTTCCAAGCATCAACTCCAACAACTAACCCCATGCTCCTGGGGAGCTGAGGCGACAGGAAAGGCTCCGTCATGATTTACCACCAGAAAAAGGTGGGCTCCAAGCCCAAAACAGTCTCCTTGAGCTCACATCCCCTCTCCAGGCAGAGAGCAATACAGCAAACACATGGAAGCAGCAGACATAAAATGAATTAAGATTTTGGTCAATTCTGATTACCAGTTTAATTGCCTTCACCTTTTTTTGCATGTGGTCATCTCATACTTTTAATTACTGCAAGAGAAAGCGCTGCCCAGCCTCCTCTCACCCTCCCACTTCCAGCCTTCCTCACTTCTGAAACTGTAACGGATTTAAGTGCCGGGATTACAACTTAACACCAGCTGAGCGAACCGAGGTTAAGCTTGAGTGAATAAAAAAATTGTATTATAGAACTTCAGACTATTAAATGAGAAAAACATGGAATGAAGAAGATTAGGGAAGCAGCTACGAAAAGCAGCATTTAAAAGATTAAGCAGGGAGGGGGGGTTGTTTAATGCAAGCTCAAAAGATTAAGTCCACGTTTTTCCAAAAGATGGTGATTTCGGGTGGCCTTGATACTTGTCATGCCCAACTCATTAAATCGTGAAGAGGCTTGATTTCTGCCACTCCCCAACAGCTAGGGCCCTTTGTGTAGTCCCAACAGGACCAAAAAAACCAAAAACCATCAAACCCATGAGTTGAAACTCTCCCCTTCAAGCAGGTCAGAGAAAGTGGCTCTCGGAGCCAGGTTGGCACCAGCCTTCTTCAGACGTGTGGTCCTCCCTTCACAGCATCCTCATCCTCCGCAGCCGGGATTCACCCAAGAAATGGGCACACACACACACCCCATCTGCCTTTCAGCATCACCATCCAAGACATCCAACAGGACTGTCTTCTCCAAACTAAAAGAACCGAAACAATGATGATTTTGAGGCTGACATCTCTCAAAAGGGGATTTTAGAGCTGGCCTGTGTGCAAGGGCTCTGCTCCCTGCCCTGAAGTAAAACCAGGTTGGTGTTTTGGGTTACAGACCCTGCACTGCACACCCCAAGGGAATGTAGCCCAAACCTCACACCTTCACAACCCCAAAATCCCATCCAGCCATCATATGCAGTGCAATGAAAATTTACAGGGATTTCATTTCATATATATATATAACTGTGTATGTATGTGAGTATATATATATATATATAAAATATGCGCATTTGGCCTCTCAAATTCCTGACATAAAGAAGCACTGCTGTCTTGTAGACTCCACCAGGGTCGTAAATCCCTATATCCACTAACACCCTGAGGGGACAAAATGTCACTGTGTCTGTGCAGGTTAATTCCGATGCAACAGAGTCAAAGCAACCAATTTTTTTCCATTTCCCTGTTTAAAGTGCTCTAAGAGCAAAGCCAAGGTCTCCATGGGACACCATCGAGCTCACAACCATCATGAAAACACAGCTCCCTGACTGCATTGCGAACAGCGCTTCAGCTAATTGAAAGCCAACTCATTGAAATATCTAATTGACTTTTCTGTGCAGAGAGCTTGCTCCAAAAGATCTAGCCTTTCTAGAAGGCACAGTTGGGCTCTGGATCAGGCCCTGCTGTTCTGCACCTTAGGCAGCCTCAGAGGGGAAACCACTGTACTTGTGTGATGATGGCTTCCAGGATCTTTAGCTCTCAGGTTCCTGGGTGCCCGGAGCTGATCCGTGGCCCTGTGGGTTATACTGGAAATTAAGCAACAACAAAAGAAACACAAACCATCAATCCTGGGTCTTACAAAAGAGAAGTAGGAGCAGACCTGCCCTGGGGCTGACTGGTGGAAAGCCACCGCTCTGCCTCACCTTCTTCACCTTCTGGGTGCCAGTGGCCCAGCGGAGACCCCTGCCCAACCCCCGAGGGGACTGAGTATTGCCTCTGCTTTGCATTTCTTTTCTTATGCTGCGTCTCACACCTTGTAGAGCTTTGTTATCCCCTCTGGAGGAACTGGGGAGAGCATTTAGCTTCTCCATTTCCAACTCCTCTCCCTGCCAACTCCCCACCATGCAACGTCCCGCTCCGTTTTAAAACCAGTGCTGTCAGTCATACTGCACAAGCTGAGTTTTATTGGTCACAGTGAAAACCCAGCAAAAGCAAGGTCCCTTCTCAACCAAACCCCTCAGCAGCCGGCGACACACCGTTTCTATAGATTTAAGATCTCTGTCTGTGCACAGCGATGCAGTGAAGCGAGGTGGTGGCAGGAGGGGAGCAGCACGAGATACCCCAATGTGGCTTCTTACTGCTCCATGAACTCTCTGAAGAGGTGATCTAGAGATCATTTCCAGCGTACTGGCCATGTTTGTATTTATTTATTTTTCCCCACTCCAAGAGCAAACCCTGGGGCATCAGGTATTCCAGCCGCTTGTGCTTTTTTCAAGGTTTGAAGCGTATTTGAGAGTCGCGTCCTCTCTTCAAACAGAAGCAGGGAGCAAGGCAATTCCTGCAAAGCAACCAACCCCATTCAAAAAGAAAATAAAAAATAAAAAAAAAAAGAGGGGGAAAGAAACCTCCCTCCTTTCCAAAGGGGAAAAAAAAAAAAAAGGAAGATAAATCCAAACCAACCCCCCTGCGCCCCAGGGCTGGTAGAAGGTGTCCGGATCCCAGAATCTGTTGTGTTGGTGGGAAAAGCCCAGTGACCTCCAGCCACCGTCAGCAGCCTGACCGCCTTGTCCCATGCTCACCAGGGCACTCCCTGGGCAAGGGTTCCTTGGCGTTGGCTCCTTGCCCCATCCCTCCCGCTGCAGAAAGGCCAGCGGTACTCGGTCTGAACTTGGTGATGCTCTGGGCGCTTGATTTTTCATCATGCCGAAGATGTGTTTTCTCCTTTAGCTGTTGCAAGTTTTGCTTTTTAAATTCACAGTCTGATCCGAGAGAGAGAGAGAGAGAGAGAGAGAGAATGAAGTAGAGGAGGAGGGAGAGTTTGGAGTGGGGAGGGAGGGAGTGCGAGGCACGCCGGGCTCTCCTTCTATGCGTAAAACTCCTCCTGCTTGTCAGGCTTCTGGTATGTCACATTGGCTTGCTTGGGTTCCTCCAGCGTGTAACTGCCCTCGTCCTTCTTCTTCATCCGATAGATGAGCAGCATGACCAGGAAGGCAGCGAAGAGGGCTCCCACCACGCCGCCCACGATCACCGCTGCAACACAGAGAAGTGGCACGGCTGTCAGTGCTGCCCCGCAGCCCCAGCCTGGCTTTCAGCACAAATAATTTGGGGGGGGATCATTTTGGATTCCAGCTTGGTTTTGTGCTTGCAAGTTTGCGAGCAACTTTTCTCCTGAAATCTACGATTAAGAAAACTGAAAACTGAAGGCAAAGGGCTAATGCAATCGCATAATTCCAGGAGCTTCAACAAGCTCCCAAGTGCAGTGATGCTGAAGGGTGAGTACGACCCGAAGGCATCTACTCTACAGCTGCACGGTGGGCAATGGACTGGCACGAGGCAGCCCAGGCACAGAGAGGTCCCTGCACAGGCTGTAACCTCATGCAAGGAGGGTGCAGAAAGTCCCCCAAAGAGCTGCTCATTTCGGTGCCTGCTGGCATCCACTACGCTCAGCTGAAGACCACCAGAACAATAGCTGCTTTGCCGTGCCATCTCCTCCAGCTCCCTTTAGCTGGTGGTGGGACACTGACACCTCTGCGCCATCTCTGATGTCCCTCTGGCTGAGACAAGTGGCCCTCCCAGGGCACCTCTCTCCTCCCCTGCAGTCAGAGCTGGCCGGGTGGTATTCAGCCAGCACCATAGCACATCTTTCCACTAATATCCTATTTTTTTCCTGGAAACCCATTTTAGCAAAAGCAAATTGTGCACAGCTCTGCACTCTCCTGGCAAAGACGTGAAGGGCCCTGGGAACCTGCCCAGCACAGGCCCTGGAGCTATTTTGGCAGGTGAGTGTGGGTTATCCCAGGCTCGACACTACCCCAATGCCCTCCAAAGACCGACCCCTCTCCTGGGGTATGGACAGCCCAGCTGTCTGTCGCCCCCACAAACACACCAGCTCCTCCCCTGCAAGCCCATGGCCTCCGGTCTCACCTATCAAGACTTCTTTCCTCTCCAGGATGTTTTTCTGGGGGAGCTGAGCGGCTGAGTTACCGGAGTCTATCGTGTTGTCAATCAGTCCTGGCTCTGTGTTCTTGCCCAGCCCAGGTCCCGACAGCGGCGTCACCACAGCCATCACCTCGTTACCGAGCTCGGGACGAGTCGTCTCTTCCTCCTCCCGGATCTCAAAGTCCCCGCTGGGGCCGCTGCTGACTGGGACCTCCAGCTCGTTGTCGAGGACTGTTGTCACCTCCCCTGGCTCCATCTGGGAGAAAGGACAAGATGGAGCAGGGGACAAGGACCAAAGGGTGGTTCCTGCCTCCAGCAGCTCTGATGTGTCCAGAGAAAGGACATCACAGTACTGATGACTGGGTGGCCCTCTCAGCAAGGAACGTGGGGTATAACATTGGGGTGTCCCTTCCCTGTGTGACTGAAGTGGACGGTTATATTGCAGCAAGCAACACAACCCCACATCTTGATGGTCACTAAAAGGCTGAGGCCACCGTGGCTGAGCTGGACCATTCTTGTCTGTCCCCATCCCAGGTGCCCTCGAGATGCACAAACTCTCACCTGTTCCCTGTAGCTTCCCCCGCATCCCAGACCCTCATTTGGGCTCTCTGTCCCCGCTGTAGACTGATGGCTGGCTGAACCATCTCACAGATGCCTCCTTGCTAGACATGAAGTGATGCAACCGTTTGTGCCACAGCAACATAGCCAGCGTAAGGATCGGATGCCATTGGATGAGCCCCAGGGGGGTCCCTTCCCTCTCCCTTTTCTCCCTTCAACCCGCTCTTATGGTTGCAGCCCTGCGGCACAGGGCAGGAGCAGGACGATGGGTCCTTCTCACCCAGGACATGGAGCCAGCCCAGGTCCCTGCTGTGGTCCCTGACCAAGACCCTTGGCAAGGAGGTGAACCCAGCCTGGATAGCAATCATGGGCCGGGCAGATGAGCCTCTGCATCTGCTTCCAGCACAACCCTGACCTATTCATTGCCTCCTGCGCAGCCCCACACCTGCAGCTCCCTCAGGGCCAAATTCCCCCTGACCTTCCCCCTTGTCGTGGCAGCCTGACCTGCTAGTGTCCACATGCTGAGCTGGACTGCACTGAGCATCCCCGAGCAGAACCTCCCCGGGATCCCCCCCTTTGCGGGGCAAACAGCTCCCTCCACAGCTGCCTCAGGACGTTACAAATCAGGATTAGCAAACAGCTCGATGGGCCGAAGCCGGCGCGGGCAAGTAGGAGCCCGCTCCATGTCACGCAGCCCCCAGCGCGAGCGCATGGCTCACTGCTTCCCACAAGCAGGCGTTTTTATGACAGAGATTAATTGAAGGCCAGCGAGAGCCCAGAGCACTATACATACATATACGTACACAGAAAAGAGGGACTAGTTTAGACCAATCACTCCACCTTTCAGTCAAAGTGGTTTTCAAAGAGCCCCCGAGGGGTTCTGAATGAGAGATAGATCAGCGGATTAAATCCCCTGCTCAGGACACCCGACGGGCTGGAAACGCACTGTCAAGCTGTAATTGCGGAGCATTTGGGCCTCCCACTGATGGGCTGCGAGTTGGGAAATGGTACGATGAGCCCAGACGCCAAACCCAGAGGAAAGCCGCTCTTTCCCCATGGGGTGGTGGTACCCCCAGCCCTGCTCCCCTCCTGCCTGGGGAAGCTGCTCTGGAGCAGCTGGGCAAGGCAGAGCCGGGGGCACCGGGGTTGTGCAGCACACCCCTGGGTGCCCCCTATCAGCTCTCGCACCAGCCCCACCACCATGCTCTGCCCATGCTAGACCCCCCACCCTTTAATCTCCCCTCTCCGGCTCCCCAGATGTTCCACTCTCCACAGAGCTGGGAAGAGCCCAACCTGGCTTGACCTCCCTCTGAGCAACTGGCTCAGGACAGATCTACCCCAAAGGCTTCCCATCACCATCACTTGGCTTCAAACGTGGCCCACAAGTCCTTTAGCAGGTGAGAAGGGCGACTGCCTCCTACCTGGGGGGCTTCTGTGGGCGGCAGCGTGGCAGGACTGGATGGCAAGGCAGTGCTTTTTTCCGTGAGGTCTGTAGTCCTGGAGGTGCTTGGTTTTGGCAGGGACCTGGGCTTGGCCGTGCTGGTGGGGACAAGCTGTGATGTGGCCACCTCTGCTGGTGTGCTGGTTTCGAGGATGGAGGTGGTGGGTGTCTCCAGGGTGGTGGCCTGGGTGGTAGCTGCCTTGGTGACAAAGGGGAGCAGGAACCTCCGGACAGTGGTGGGCTTGGCAGTGGCCATGGTGGTGCTGGTGGTGGTCATGGCCGCGGTGGTGGTGGTGGTGGCCGTGGTGGTGGTGGTTGTGGTGGTAGGGGAGTCGCTGGCAGTGGTACTGGTGGTAGTTGCTTTCCAACTGGGGATCACTGGTGTCTCTGTCATCCTGGGGATATACAAGACGCTGGTTGTCTGCTCAGGGGTGGTGTCCTCAGCAGGGAATGTTTCAAAGGGGGTTGCCACGGGCTGCACCGAGGTGATGGGCAGCACAGCCGCCGTGGTAGGGAGCGTGACGGATGTGTCCGTGGTGAGGCTTACTGCCGTCTCGAGCCCCGACTCCTGCTCAAAATCTGAAAGAGAGGGAGAAGAGCAAAGGGTGAAGCTGCTGCTGCCCCGGCATTTCCCAGGGCTGGCACCCACCTGACCTCATCCCCCCAGAAAATGAGAGCATGGACTGGTTACGGGCTCAGCAGAAACCAAGGGCTGCAAATTCCCATGTAGTGGCCAAAGCCCTTCTCTGGGGTCAGTGAAACCTCTAGAACATTGGCACATGCTGTCGTGCTGGGGAAAGGTTAATCCTGCCCAGTAGGACCAGAGACTGAAATGGGAAATGGAGTCACTTTGAGCCCAACCTTTGGGACCATTCCCTTTGGTTTTGTCTAGGAGAAGGCAGGAGGGTGGCTCCAGAGATGGGCAAGGGGCGATCCCCTCCCTCGCATCCCACGGCAAGGCCCTCTCCTGTCCCACCAAAACCCACGGTCAGGCTCCCCAGGGACCCTTCCCCAGGAGCCCCGCAGCTACTTACACCCTGAGCCAGAGCCCGAGTAGACATCGTCCAGTTCATCGTCCCCAAAGGGGTCATCGTCCCCGGAGCCCTCCAGGTCCACGGGCCTCTCGTAGTTCTCGTTGCGCCAGCGCTGAGCCTGCAGCCAAGTGGGGAGAGATGCGTGAGCAGCTCCAGCCTGACCGAATTAAGACCAGTCCCTGCACAGACACCCCCAGACAGCCCTCACGGGGTGATGCACAGGTTGAACAGGCCAGGGAAAAGCAAGACCAAGGGAGCAGAAGCGCAGGCAGTGCTCTCCAGCTGAACCACCCAGGACCGTGTTGTTTTCCCCCAAAACAATTCACTGCTGCAAATCTTTCAGACAAGCTGACATTTTGTGGAGAGCTCACATTGACTCCAATAACATTTCCCATGGAAATGAGCCCTCTGGAAAAAGGGGGAAAAAGAACAACAACTGCTTTTGGAAACTGTTAGAAAAATTATCAATTTGGTTCTCCACCTTGCTATTGTTTCATTTTAAACGATTTTCATGTGATTCCTGGCGCAGGCGTGACAGTAACACACACTATCAGCTGCCGTAACTTGGTAAGTCTCAATATGAAACAATATCAGACTTCAAATATTCCACTGCTCTGCAGCGCCGCTAAAACTTGAAGAGCCCTTGCTAGTAGGGCTCTTAAACATCTTGTTTTCCAGATCAAAGTGTTGCAAGGAAACAGTTTGACACTTCATTACAACCCAAACAAGGAGGCTTTGATCTGCAAGATAGCATCAGATGTTTCAAGATGTAACAAGCCAGGTTAGTGCTTAAATTTAAAATAAAGGAGTAGAAGGGTCCCCTTCACTTATTAGAGCATTTTACCTCTTGACAACAGCTTCAAGTTTCTTTGTTTTCATTCCAGATTGGAACAAAAAGGAATTTTGAAATGTCAGAAGGTCCTATGGCATAGAAATTTGGGACTTAACTGGCATTTTTGTCCCCACATCTCTTCTCCTGGAGCCCATCAGCTGGCAGGGGAGAGAAAACCCGGCAGCCCTCAGCTGCAGCGAGGTGCTCGGGACTGGGAGGTTGGAGGACACTTCCCAGGGGCTGCAGGCTGATCACTGCCCGGTGCCCAAGCCAAGGAGATGTCTGCTGCCCAAACCCTGCCTATATAGTCACTGGGTTGCTGCAGATGTACCACTTGTGTCATACACCCACGGTGACAGCACGAGCACATTCCTGGGGACATAAATCTCTTGGGAAGATCAAGGGGAGTTGGGCTTTTAAGTGTCTGTCTCTCCTGAAAGCACTGATGAGCTTTTTCAGGCTGGATCTATTCCTTTATCTCAAGTGATAGCAGTGCTCTCCCCTATCACTGCAGCCACTGGTTATATCCTGCCAGTCTCCAACGTGCTGTGCACTTTCCAAACTTCCTGGGAAGACTCAGTCTTTGCCCCAAAGATAATGCACCATCCTGGAGTTTCAAATACACGGTCACCAGCAGCTCACTGAAAAAGTCTGTTATCCACCAGAATTAATCCGCAGGGAAGTGGGAATCATGTGGCCCCTTGCCGAGCCACAGAGGCCAAACCCCACTGCAGCATGAGGCTGGAAGTGATGTGCTCTGAATCTGGGAGTTGGTGCTGATTAACCCTGCAGAGATGCTGGAAAGCCCAGCAATGGTCACGGTGCTGGGGAAACAGCCTGGAGAGAGGATGGACCAGGAGAGATGGGACGGAGGCAGGGAGTAGCCAAGAGTGAGAGGGACACATCCCTGCGAGGCAGAAGCTTGCTTTCTCTCCTTGGAAATCAAGGTGTCACCAATGGGTGACAAGCGAGATGAGCTCGGTGTTGCCAAATGATTTCAAATAATGCTTTGCTCTGATCTATGGAGGAACAGGCTCCAGCTCCTGGAGAGGAGATGGTAAAAAGCAGGGAAAAACTGATGCACCAAGGATCAGTGCAAGTGATTTTGCTAAATAAGTGATGTCTCACCAGCATGCAACAACAAAATAAATAAAATGCAATAACAAATAGATGCCCAGGCAGGATCTGCTGTAGCCCAGGGGAAAGGCAGTGGATAGAAGTAAAAGACCCCAAAAACCACCTTTGGTTTCACCATGCAAGTTTTCCATGACTCCCCAGCACTGACTCCAAAACCTTTGGGTCAATGTCCCTCCTGGATCAGCAGGACAAAGCTACGGAGCTCACCCACTGCGAAACAGCCCATCCAGGACTCCTCTGTCCCTGTGTCCAGTGCAGGGAAGCCAAGGACCAGGAGATCCCAGGGGACATGCAGGGGCTGGTTCAGTGTCTTTTGAAGGCTGATGGGGTGCACCACCCATAGGAGCCCATAAATTATGAGACAGGCCACCAAAACTGATGGGAAGGCAAGGGAAAAAATGCAAGGTTTGAAGGATGGGAGGAAGAAATATTTGGAGTTGCTTTTATTTGCCTTTTGATTATTACACCAAAAATATTGAGGCTTACTGAGAAACAAGGAGACCACTGTGCAGGTGCTCCCCAGACCACCCCTCACCCCTGCCAGCTAACCCGGGCGAGCTCCCCAAAGGCCAGATTCTCTCTGTGTGACCTGCAAAGCCTCACTGTAATGGAAGCCACATGGCCCAGCTCCATTGAGCCCATTTCTCCCTTAAATTGGAACCAGGCGAGGCAGCTCCAGCCACCAACTCCCGGCTCCCCATCCTTGGACCGGGAAACGAAAACGGAAGCACACAGCCCCACCATGCCACGCCAGCCCCCATCCATCCATCCATCCATCCATCCATCCATCCATCCATCCATCCATCCATCCATCCATCCATCCATCCATCCATCCATCCATCCATCCATCCATCCATCCATCCATCCATCCATCCATCCCACAGGGTGGAGAGACTCAGCACAGCCAGCATGCGTCCTGGATCTGCTTTGCCCAGGAGAAAAGCCTGGAGCGATGCAGCGAGGGCAAATGGGTAGATGCCGGTGAGAATTTTCCAGCCCCAAATCCAAAAGCAAACCTTCCCATGAGTATAACACCCCCATATTTTGCTCACACAACAACCCGGCCCAGCACCTGCCTGCTCAGCACATGGCCGGGGAGGAGTCCCCAGGCACCGCTGCCTGCTTCCAGCATCCTCCCGGGACACCGACTGATTCCGTGGTCCAACCTGCAGTGTGTGGCTCCCCAGCGTGATGCAGATTTGGAGCTGGGAACCCTTCCGCCAGGTCTTTCTCCTCCCCAGATCCGCACTCCCTGCACTGTGCAAACACCTTGACTCCCTCCAGGTTGAGGGATCAGGATCCACACCACAGCCCCACGGGGATCCATCTCCCGGAGACTCTGACTGCAGCAGGAACAACTTCACAGCAATAAAACACTTCACAGGGCCAAAACTCACTCTCCGGAGACAACTCCCTTGATGTGAGAGACGTCTCTCCCACGCCTGCCCCTCACACACCAGCCTGCAGAGATGTTCTCAGCCAGGTTTTGCGCTGTGGATTCCAGAGGATCGGCGACGATCAGTGCAGTTCATACCAAGGAGGGACTACAGCAGCCCACAGCACAGGGCAGCCCACCAGCAGGCCAGCTCCAGCTGCTGCCTGGCCAGCTCAGTGCATGTAATACCAGCTCCTGCACGACCAGGCGCAACGCTGCTGTTGCACTGCAATATTCATGAAGCTGCAGCGTTCCTGCTGCTCAGGGAAGGTGAAATGGGACCTAAAGTAGGATGGCAGAGAGTTTCCCTTCTCTTGCTTGTCCGCAAGTCTCCAGAGGCTGCTCCCAAGCCACTCCTGCATGCAGGGGGAGCTCGTGATACAAAACCATGGCAAGCAGCAACAGATGCTGGACAACCCTTTCCTCCTCTACAGCATCTTTCATCCTAGCATCTGCCCAGCATAAACCCCTAAATAACCACACAGTCAGGACCAGGCATGGGGGGACCCCCTGACTGCAGTAAGCACAGCCCCAGCCCAATAAGCTTCACAAAGATTTATTGATAAGGCTTGTGAAACATCTCCAGGTGTTCCTGGTGCAGAGCAGGGGTGTTTGGCACACGGCTGTTCCCAAAAAAGCCCCCATACCGCTCCTCTCCCGAGGCACTGACGTAAACCTCTTCCTGGAGGAGGAGGCTGCCCCAGCTACAGCCCTGATGGTATTAGGTCAGGCTCATGTAATAAATCTTGGGAACAGTTGGTGTTTATTTGGATTTACTGCTGCTTAGATCGTTAATACTCTACGTGCACCAAGCCCCGCAGTCATGCACGGCCCCCAGCCTCCCCCCAGCATCGAGGGGGCTGCTCCCCCTTGCACGGCTGGGATGAAGCGGAGAGGAATGGTGATTTTGCCAGCCCGGGAAGTCACAAATCATGCAGGATGGCAGCTCCCACCTCCCGACCTGTGGCTGCCTCCCCATCCATCACAGCCTGCATCGCAGCAAAGACACAGCTGGCTGGATTTGTCCCAAAAGAGAAACTTCACTCAGACTTTATCCCCAACACAGCAGGCTCCACGTGGTCAGAGCAAGGCTGGAGGGAGCCCGCTGGCAGGACCCTCCGGGGCGTGCTGGATCTGTCCCTTGCCACCTCAGGTCCCCAGGGATGGTGTCACGGACTGTCCCAACCCCACTGCAGGAGGGACAGGGCTGCCACCCCAGCGGGAACCCCGGCACTGGGCGAAGCCTCTGCAACCACCGAGGATTGCCAGCCCCAAGAAAGGGTTTTCCATGGCACGAATTTCGTGCCTGCCTAGGGCTGGGAGTCACGCGAGCCGCATCTGCACCCTTGATCAATCTCCTCCCACGGTCAGGATGGGGGGACCCGCTCGCAGGACTCCCAGGTCCTCTGTGCAGCCCTCTCCGGGTGTCCGATGCAAAGCTGAGCCAGGTGGGCAGAGGCTCCTCGGGGCAGGGAGGAAACCCCAGTACGATGCTCGTCCTGGCTGGTGCCCCCTGCCCCATGCCAGCCCCTGCCCTGCCCTGCCCTGCCCTGCCTGCAGCAGGATGCCGAGGGCCACCGATTAGCCGGCTTGAGCCAAGGGACAGCAGCTCCCATCCGTGCAATTACAACTTCCCAGCTAATGGCTCTTGGCAGGGGCGTTCGTTAACCAGCTCAGCCCGTGCTTCCCCCAGACGGGCTTCATTAGGGAAATTAAACCAGGGGTCAAGGCAAAGCTCCTGGAGGCACCGGGGCCCAAGACGCCAGCTGGGCCTGGGGGGGTTGCATCACCTTTGGTGATGTCCAAGTCCGTGGGAGGTGAAAAGGAGTGGAAAGGTTTAAATGTGCCCTGTGAGGTGCTGGTTCTCTGCCGGGCCATGCTCAGGACTGTCCTGCAGAAAGGGAACCGCTCGTTCCATGTCCCCATGGCTCAGCCCATGAGCCAGTCACTGCCGTGCCAGCCATGGGGGCAGCCCAGGCCACGATCCAGCTCTGGCATCATCCAGACCCCGATCGCCTGCCCTACTTCTACTCCTCCAGCGTCCAAAAATGTCACAGATCTGCTGCTATATAAGCAAACCCCAATGCAAAGCGGTCTCCATAAGGCAGGGCCAGAAAGTCAAATTTCAATAAACATTCCTCCAGTGCTCTAAATGACCCCAAATCAGTGCCAGACCCAAAGGATTTGGATGTCAGCAGCTCTGGAGGTGACATGGCCACTACATAGAGCTCGGATAAGAAAAACATCCCCTGCTTGATCCCAGAGGACTCTTTTGCTCCTGCAGCCGCCACAGGGCTGAGTGAGATCGGCAGGCAATGACGCCCACCCGGCCACTCACTGTCCCCTTCGATGCCTCCGCTCCGCGGCTTGGCTGGACCGGCCAGGAACAGCAGTCAAGGGGCCACAGCAGCACAAATCACACCCAAATCCTGTGCTAAGAGCCTTGGGAAGGGAGAGCTCAGGCCCTTTGGCTCG